CCCTCAGAGGGAGTGCAACCCCATTTAGGACAAAGCCCAAGTCCCCCATCCCGAGGCCCGAGCCACCCACCAACAGGACCTCGGTCTCGTCTGGATTGAGCTTCAGTTTATTGGCCCTCATCCAGCCCATTACCTTGGCCAGGCACTGGTTCAGCACAGCCACTGCCTCACCTGGATTGGTGGAAAATGAGAGGTAGAGCTGGGTATCATCAGCGTACTGATGATTCCGCAGCCCACACCTCCTGATGACCTCTCCCAGTGGTTTCATGTAGATGTTAAATAACAAAGGGGACAAAATGAACCCCTGTGGAACTCCATGGCATAACTGCCACGGCGCAGAGCCATAGTCCCCCAGCACCACCTTCTGAAATCGGCCATTGAGATAGGAGCGGAACCACCACCACCCGGTGCCTCCAACTCCCAATCCCGCTAGCCTATTCAGAAGGATACCATGGTCGATGGTATCGAAAGCCGCTGAGAGGTCCAGGAGAACTAACAGGGACACACTCCCCCTGTCTCTCTCCCTACACAGGTCATCGTACAGGGCGACCAAGGCAGATTCAGTGCCATACCCGGGTCTGAAGCCAGACTGAAATGGGTCCAGATAATCAGTTTCATCCAAGAGTGCTTGGAGCTGTCCCGCCACCACCTGCCCTAGCACCTTGCCCAGGAACAGGATGTTGGCCACCGGTCTATAACTGGTGGCCACTCTGGATCCAGGAATGCCTTCTTTAGGACTGGCCAGACTACTGCCTCCTTTAAAGGGGCAGGTACCCAGCCATCTCTTAAAGAGGCATTGACCACGTCCAGGATCCAGGTCCCAATCCCGTCCTTGGCTTTCTTAAGTAAGTAAGCAAGTGGTAGGACGTACTTGTCCAAGCACCTTGTCCATATCATCAGCCCTCCACAACTGAAATTCATCCATTAATTGTGGACTCGTGCGTGTCGATGGCATCTCCCCAGTAGAATCTGATTCAATAGCAGAGTCAAGCTCATGGCGAATCTGAGCGATTTTCTCCCTGAAATGCTTGGCAAAGTTGTCACAGCGGGCCTTCGAGGGTGGCACAAGATCTTTCTTTGGGCCTGGATGTATCAGCCCCTGCACCACCCGAAAAAGCTCCGCCGGATGGCATTGTGAGGAGCAATGGAAACGGAGAAGAATTTCTTCTTCGCCATCCTCACTGCCACAGCATAGGCCCGATAATGGGCTCTTAAGTGTGTTTGGTCAGAATCACCCCGTGATCTCCTCCACCTAGAGTGGAGTGGTATGGAGTGGTATAGAGTGGTAATAATACCTCTCTTGATCTAGAAGCCATGCTTCTGGCTATGCAACCAAGGGAACTCACCCTTTTGACTGCCACGTCACACTGCTGATTCATCTTTAGCCTGCAGTCAACCAGTACCTCAAGATCTCTTTCACAAGTGCTGCTCTCCAGCCACTTGTCCCCTAACCTGTACTTATAACACCCATTCCCATACCCCAAGTGCAAGACCTTGTGTTTATCCCCATTGAATCCCATCCTCTTGTCCCCTGCCCACTTCCATAGTCTGTCCAGATCCTTCTGGATCCTGAGTACCTGCTCCTCAGATGCGGCCGCCGTCCTCATTTTAGTATTGTCTGCAAATTCCATCAGCAGACTGGTCACCCCCTCTTCCAGGTCATTGATGTAAAGATTGAACAGGATTGATCCCAGAATAGAACCCTGTGGGAGCCCACTTGTCACTGGCCACTATCCCAATGATTCCCCACTAATGGTTACCTTCTGCTTTTGGTCAGTCAACCATGCCCTAATCCATTGGTCAGTGCATCAATCTATCCCAAAACTCCTGAATTTCTCAACCAGGATATCATGCTGCACTTTATCAAAGGCCTTGCTGAAATCTAGGTAAACCACATCCACTGTATCCCCTCTGTCTAGCCATCTCGAAAACTTGTCATAGAATTCCATATGTTTCATCTGGCAGGACCTGTTTTTGTGGAAGCCATGTTGTGGAATCCATAATGAACGTGTATCCTTTAACTGTGTTATTCCAATCACGGAACTCATTCCTTAAGTAATACTTATCAAGTATTTGCCTTCATGTATTAGGAGTTCAAGTTCATTCTGTTTATTTCCCATACTCTGAGCTTTAGTGTATAGACATGGTAGCCTATGTGTTTTATGGTGTGGCTTTTTTCCTGCATTAATAAGAGGACTATTAGATTTTGACCAGTTAAATGACTCCAGTAACCAAAAATATTAATCACCTCCATCAAAACTGGAAGAGATTGCTAGAGTTAAAAAATAAAATATTATGTGCAAAGAAAGAAAGTTTGACTGTTTAGCAGTTATGTACAAAGCAGTGAATACTATCATTCTGTCTAACAGTGCATGCTATTGGTCCAAATCATGGATCAAATATCAGAGGAAGAAGCGGCCATCCCTGTCTAGCACCTATCCCAAATCAGAAAAAAAACTGGATAAAAATAACTAGACATAACTTTAATGCAAATGGATACAGGATTTGGACCCATTTCAAAAGTTCTTGGGAAAAACCAACATTTCTTAATGTAGCAACAATGAATTTCCAGTAAATTTTATTGAAGTCCTTCTCTGTGTCCAGAGCAGCAATAGCAGCTGTATCTTCTCTGCTCAGATTTTAAGATGAATTTTTAATATGAATTCATACTTCCCAAACTAATACAAGAACCAGAATAGTTATCCTTCAGTTTTTACAATTCTCTGGATACTGTGGTACTGTTCTCTGATGCAAATAAAATGGCTACACTGGGGAAAACCACAAACAAATTCCATCCATTAAAGAAAACAGCATAAGAAAAGCTATACACTGTGAATCTTTCTGTTAAAAAAATTAACAAACTGATATGGAAATGGGATAGAATGAGATAGAAGGGAAGATGAGTAAGAATGTTGTCCCATTTGCTTGCTGCTAAGTAGCAACATTTTCATATTTCATCATAAATGGGATAGAATTAACTTAAGATTTTTTAAACAATGGAATCTGGGGAAAAACAGAACTGACTAGTTCATCCAGGCAGGCAGGCAGCTATCTTGCAAGCAAAAATCATGAAAGACTTAGTGCTTCAGCCTCCTGTTCTGAGGATGTTCCTTTTGACACAGACTCTGTGAGCTAATGGACATGACACCTGGCTCCATCTCTCCCCAAACTGCATCCCTAACCTACTAGTTTCCACCCAGCCTGTAGTTGAGAACCTACAGTTGAGCAGATGTTACTAAAATCCTTGAAACCTACACAATTTCATGGTGGATCCCTTTTGGCTGGACTGTGCCCAGTAGGTTTTATGAAGTGCTTCTAAAAAACCAATAATTTTCTCCTTTGAAGAAGTGAACTGTCTGACATACATTTATGTAGTGTGCATTGAATCCATAAAGTTCTATAAACAGTAAGTTAGGTTACCAGAAATACGTTCTCTCTGCTTTATGTAAAAAAATCTTCACCACTTTCTTATTAGCAGAAAAGGACTGGACATTACACATTACATTATGTGTAATAATCTGCTCAGTGCAGATGTTTTTCTTATGGAAACACTTTTATTGCTGTCCGAAGACCCGTATATGTTGAATATGGCATGTATATTAAGACGTTATCCTGCTTTTTTGTGTTCACAGTGCTTTTTACTTGTAAGAAACCAGAAACATCATAAGAAAACATGCTCTGTGTAGGGTACCACAAGCTCCATTGGCTTTAGTTTACCAAGAACAGTCACTTTTTTCTGGGACCTGTTCCTGTTAAATTGTTTTTTCATTTTGATTCATAATTTGCCTTTTAGGGATATTTTAAAGTGCCTTTTTACATCTGATTAGTTGTCACAGTGCAAGTTCCAGCAATCAGCACCCTTCTCTATGGGACTCCAAAAGCTAATTCTCTCAGTTTGGGATGGATGCAGCTTGTTTCCAGTGGGAATGTACATTAAAGACACAAATGAGGATGTTTAAAACCATGTAGGATGGCACCTGCAATTTCACTGGAAATGGGCAAGTTTGGCTCAGCTTTGATGAAATCAGCTAAGTCATAAGCTGCGAGGAAACAACTATTTACCAAAAGAAGCCACAAGACTCCCACCTCTAATTCCTAAAAACTCTACCCACCAGCATCCGATAAGCAAAAGGAGGAGCAGCATGCAGGGAGACAGATGATTCCTCCGTGTGCCTAGGTACATTGTTCAACAGTGTACAGCATATTCATAGCTTATTACTGAGATACCTGCTTCTGATTTTACTGTGATTTGTTCATATTTCTTTGCATCTTAATCACTGTTACCTTCCTGGTGGATTTTTAAATGGGAAGTGAGACATTTTATGACAATGTCCCACATAAGAAATTTCAGGATATTTGATATGTTGATGTCAACAGGATCCCACAACAGGGCCCAACAAAAGTTTAATCTGTTTCCCTCTACACGTCATTTTCAACCTTTCCCTTCTTCCTCTCTTGCCACAACTGCCTTGGATGCTTTGCACGGAAGGGCTCTCTTTTACTTCCAGTTCCCTCCCTGACTTAGAGGGATCACTTTGTTTATTGAAGGATGCTCTTCCAGGTATCTCAGTAAAGAATTGTGTTGTGCCACAAACACATTTATTAGAGTATACTCTCTGTGTTAATACATTTATTACTATTTAAAGGGGTCTGACACTTTATTGGTTTTGCTGCAATAGACTTACATTGTACTTCTCTGGAGTTTATCATTGTAAACAAGTGTGACAAGGTATATTTTAACACAAAAATGATACCTTCCTTAGTTAACAAAGGTCAGCATTATAAATAAATGAAAGCAACATTTTGAGTTGCTGGCAACAGGATGATGCAAATAAGTCCATTCAAATTTAAGTTTTTTTGGAACAGTTATTGACCTGTAGGTATAAATATAAGATAAATATAACAATTGAGAAATGTGAAAATTTACTGATACTCCCCATAACATTATCATTCTAAATAGGAACAATGGATCATCAATGAAAAACAAGGCCATTGCTTACCAAATGTTGCAGTCTTTTGTCAAGGACTCTCCTGGAGCATACTCTTGACCATTGTAAAAACAGGGGCATTTTTCAGGTACAGTGCATTTGTTACCATGTCGTACCTAGAAAAAGAAAAGGCGTTTATGGAACTTCAATAGCCACAGAATAAATCTAGTAGCCTAAAGCAGTGACATGAAAACAAGACATGTGACATACTACTCTGCTAGTAATAATATATATAGTATTAGTCATGTGATGTTTGAGTGACTGCACATAACCCACAACGTTTTACAGAAAAGAAAGCTAAAGAGTTCCAATCCAGATCAGAGCCACTAAAAGTCAGTCTTTCCTCCTAATTGCCACAAACAGCATGCCAGGGTTATTACCTGTTCTCTTACCAGAGTGAAACATTCAATTAAGCCAAGCATTCCACTGCCCAGGTGGCAACTTACATTTTAAAAATTTCCATTATGATAGAATTAGTTCACAAAAATAGGAAAGAGGACAGCTTGATCTCTCCCTGCATCAATCAGGGACAAACCCAATAGCTTGGCAAAGGTTCTATTTTTGGCCCCAGCTATAACTGCATCTAGGGCCAAAAATAGGGCTGTATCGAGGGTCGTCCTTTTCTTCCAGTTTGTTCTGATAAGAATTTACCAAAGTTCATGATTTTCTTATTTTCTGTGATGAAAAGAATTTGAGATGTTCATGAAGTTTCTGTGGGAGAAATTCAGCCATCCTGACTCAGGGCTTTGCATGCTCTTGAAAAATGAGATTGAATTCATATTGAGGTGATCATTTCATAATTTTTAACAGCTGTATGGCAGGCAGGTTCAACCTGGCTCACTCCATACTGGGGGTTGCTTTACCTACTGAAAGTAGCTGATGCCATTCTCCCAAGCATGCACATGGACATTTGCCTATTTTATTATATGCAGATGATGCCATGCATGAGCTACTTATTAAGTGATTGGACAGTGACTGGAGAGTAAAACTGAAAAGTGGATGATTAACTATACCAAATCTAAAGTTTTAGTTTTTACTCAAAAACATTCCAGACATTGTTAGCAAATAAATGGCCACTCAGTTGAGCAGATTCATCTTTACAAATATTGGGGAGTAATTTTTTCAGTCATCAGGCTCTTGGAGGGCTTAAAACACATGGAAAAGTGTGAAAGCTCTCATCTCTTTTTTCCTCCCCTCACCCCATTTTACGCTAAGGGGGACTATACATACCATCAGTCCCACAGGTTTTTTTTCCTGTTAAGATACTATCACACAGTATGGTCACTTCTGTTCAAGTGAAACCATCCCTCTTAGATGCTGTCCAGTTGCATCTTGAATGCGTTCAATATGGAAGAGCCCACAATCTCCTTAGGTTTCATTGTTGTACTTCTTTAACAGTCAGGAAATTTTCCTGATGTTCAACAGGAAGCTGGCTTCCTGTAACTTGAACCTGTTATTCTGTGTCATAGATTCATAGAAGAGTAGGGTTGGAAGGGGTGAAGAAGGGCACTTGGTGCATTTCCCTGCTGGTACAGAATGCCAAATCATACCATCCCACTCAGATGACTGTCCAGTTTTGTCTTGAATGACTCTTGCAGGGGAGAGCCCATGACAACTGGTTTTACTGTTGTATTGCTCTGACAGTTAAGAAGTTTTTCCTGGTGTCTAGCCTGAATCTGGTGTGTTGTAGCTTAAGTTTGTTGTTCCATGTCCTATGTTCAGGGATGAGTGAGGTCTTTTCCTTCCTCTTTGTAAAAGCCTTTCAGGTACTTGTAAAGTGTTAGTCTCATAGTCTACTCAAGGCTGAACGTGCCCAGATCTCTCAGCTTCTCATAAGTTGCATCCATTTAGCTTGTTGTCTATAACAACTCCAAGATCTTTTTCTTTTTTGATCCTGTTGAGCCAAGTATCCCCCATCTTGTAGAGGTGCATTTGTTTTCCCCCACCACCAAGGTATTGGCATTTCTCCCTGTTGAATTTCATTGCATTGCTTTCTGCCCAACATTCTAGCTTCCATAGGTCACCCTACATCTTTTTTCTTTTCTTTTTTGTCTTCCAGGGTGTTAGCCATTCTGCCCAGTTTTGCATCATCTGCAAATTTAATTATTGTTGCCTGGACTTCCTCATCTAATAGCTCTGTCAAGCCCACCTTTTATCAGGATGTTGTGGGGCAGTTTGTCGAATGCTTTGCTAAAGTCTAGGTAAATTATGTTCCTGTAATCACTGTCTATTTAGGGCGTTACTCAGTCAAAAATGTGATTACGTTAGTGTGGCTTGACTTATATTTAAGCAATCCATGTTGGCTTCTATTCATCCCTGCATTTTCTTCATGGTACTTACAGAATGTTTTTTTAAATAATTTGCTCCAGTATTTTCCCAGGGATTGATGTCAGACTGACTGGTCTGCAGTTCTGCTGTTCATCTTTTTTCCCTTTCTTGTAGAATGGGCCAGTATCAGCATTTTTCCAGTCATCTGACACTTCCCCTGTCTTCCCCTGTCTTCCAAGATTTCTCAAAGATTACAGATATTGGTTCAGAGAGTTCTGCCAGTTCCTTTAGGACCCTGGGAAGAAGCTTATGAGGTCCCAGAGATTTGAATGCATTAAGCTCATCAAGGTGCTCCTTGAGCATTTGTCTGTTGACCTTCAGCTGCCATCCTGAAGTTAAGCATTTCTGCCTTTTCATTGTCATCTGCTTTTCTTCCTGCATTTTTGGGATACTGTTATTAGTCCCTATTTGAGGTTTTTTCTCTGCTGTGGTCCATCACTTGTCATCAGTTGACATAGCACCCTGATGCACATCTCCCTCCCCTGTGTGATTTAGTTTGGGTTGTTGGAAAAGAGTGTTTGCAATGACTAGTGTTTCTCTTGCCAAAACTCTGCTAAGCCTTTGCCCTGCTTCATTTTGTACTCCAAGGCCAAACTTGCCTGTAATTCTGGTTATCTTTTGATTTCCTACTTTAGCATTCCAATCCCCCATGATGATAAGGACATCATTTTTTGGTGTTAATTCTAGAAGGTGTTGTAGGCCTTCATAGAACTGGTCAACTTTAGCCTCTTCAGCACCAGTGGTTGGGGCACAGACTTGGACTGCTGTGATGTTGAATGGTTTTCCTTGGATTTGAACTGAGATCATTCTGTCATTTTGGAGGTTGTATCCCAGTACTGCTTTTCCTATTCTTTTATTGACTATGAAGGCTACTCCATTTTTTCTGAGGGATTCTTGCCCGCAGTACTATATCTGCTGGTCATCTGAATTAAATTCACCCATTTCTGTCCATTTTAGTTCACTGATTCTTAAGATGTAGATATTCAGTCTTCTCATCTCTTGTTTGACCACGTCTAGCTTGCCTTGATTCATAGATCTTACATTCCAGGTTCCTATGCAGTATAGATCTTTACAGCATCAGCTTCATTCTTTCTGGTGGTACTAGTACTAGCCCTCCACTCTTCCCCAGTAGCATATTGGATACCTTCTGACCTGAGGGGCTCATCTTCTGGCATCATATCTTTTTGCCTTTTGGTACTGTCCATGGGGTTTTCATGGCAAAGATACTGGAGCGGGTTGCCATTTCCTTCTCCAGTGGATCACGTTTTGTCAGAGCTCTCTGCTATGACCTGTTTGTCTTGGGTGGCCCTGCACAGCATAGCTCATAGATTCATTGAGCTACACAATCCCCTTCACCATGACAAGGCAGTGATCCATGAAGGGGACAACAGACCTAGGACGCAAAAAAATTCTGTGGTCCTCTAGATGCTGTCTAGGGCAGTGCAGGATCGCTATCTTAATTGTTCGCGCTCGCTCTCTCTCTCTCTCTCTCTGTTCTGATAATACTAATTCTTTAAAACTGCTTGACAATTTTTGACAGTATTTGGCTAGTCAATCAATCATTTTTGACTGGTCAAATGCCCGACCCAAAGTTCTCTCCCAGGAATTATGAGGGGACAAGTGGGATAGCTGCTCTAAAATTGGTGCACCAAACCTGTGCCTAAAAAGCCACAATGCCCATAGCAATCCTAAGCAATATGAGATACCCACCCTCCACAGATTCTGCAGTAATATCTTCATGTTCTTCTTTATTAACCCACAGCATCTATGCTTCCCTAGTTTTCTTTCTATTACTCCTGAAGGAGGAATAAACAACCTGTGTAGCTTCACTTCTTTCTTTGTAAATTAGGGGATTTGCCCAGATGTCTGCATACTATCTGGGGTAGCACTTCCCACTTCTACACAGCCTTCAAAGTTGAAGGACTCTTATCATATTTTCCTTCCAGAATTGTATCTCTTATGTTCCTAGCTGTGAAAACAATAGGAAGAGTTGAGCAACACTGCCCTCTAGTGCTGGAGAAAATTTTACTCCTGCTTCACCAAGGAGAACAATGTGATGCTACAAGCCATGAGAAAACTGTGATCTGTGCAGAAAGCAGCTTCTGTATTGGAAGAAATGCTGGGGAATGGGGGTCTTGCCAATAAAGTGGCACTGCGCTTGCAGTACATACCACAGAATTCCTGACAGCCAAAGTATTCCACCTAGTGCTGGTAGAAGGGCAGGTTTTGCTATTACCATTATAGCCTCCTGCTTGCTCTGCTGCCCCTACCCACAAAGAAGCAAGCCTGCCCTTTATCTGCATGTACTTTATCTGGACTTGTGTTTACTGGCAATGCTGAAATGTGGCAGAACACTTGCAAGTGGATTTCTGGGCATATACAGATTGCGCATACAAAGAGTCCCATTGCTGAATCGACTGCCTTAATTCCTATGTGGTGCTGCAACTGGCTGTTTTACAGTGTTAAGCTTTGTCTTTGCTTTTAACCTGGACGTCTGCAGCTGTTGGGTGGTTCAGAAATGCAGAATGTATGTAAATGATTATGCTGATGATAATGAATCAATTCTTGCCTGTAAACAGGTGAGATTGTGTTTATGTATTTTCTATGTATGTATGTATATAAAGAGATGTGTGTATTGAAACAGCAATTCCCACCATCCTCTGATATTTGTCTTAACTGAGGCCCGGTAGTTCTAACTGCTAGTGTTAATCCCTAAACTGGGTAAAACAAAACATGTTTCTATAATTTCCCTCTTTCAACAATTTTTTTTTCTGATTAAATATCTGCTACTGCTGCTCTGTATCACAGTTCTGGATTAACCTTTGCACTTTGCACAATGTCGTCTTTGTCTTAATGAGATTTTCACCTGAGAGAAATCATACTAGACTAAGACATTTCCCATGGTACAGCTACTCTACAAAGCACAGTGTTATAATGCTTTCATTGCACCAGGGATGAGCCAATTATAGCCCTCCATATGTTTTGGCCTGCAACTCCCATCAGCCCTAGCCAGCAGTTCTAGTACAAGGGATGAATGGAGTTGTACCTAAAATATCTAGAGGACCACAAGCTGGCCACCTCCGTTTTGCACCAAACTCCTTGGGGCCAATCATCATTGTCTTCTGTATATCAACACTGAGAAGCGAACATTTCTTCTGATATGCCTTCATCTAATGAGACTTCAGAATGGCATATCAATGCAGAATGGAAGATTTAGGGTGTTATTAAGTTTGTTGTTAGTCGCGAAGTCGTGTCCGACCCATCGCAACCCCATGGACAACATTCCTCCAGGCCTTCCTGTCCTCCACCATCTCCCAGAGTCAACTTACGCTCACACCAACTGCTTCAGTGACTCCATCAAGCCACCTCATCCTCTGCCGTCCCCTTCTTCTTTTGCCATCTATTGCTCCCAGTATTAGACTCTTCTCCAGGGAGTCCTTCTTTCTCATTAGGCGGCCAAAGAATTTGAGTTTCATCTTCACTATCTGGCCTTCTAAACAGCAGTCAGGGTTGATCTCCTCTAGGACTGACCGGTTTGATCGCCTTGCGGTCCAAGGGACTCGCAGGAGTCTCCTCCAGCACCACACTTCAAAGGCCTCAATTCTTTTGCACTCAGCCTTCCTTATGGTCCAGCCTTCACAGCCATACATTGCAACTGGGAAAACCATAGCCTTGACTATGAACACTTTTGTTGGCAGGGTGATGCCTCTGCTTTTTAGTATGCTGACCAGATTTGCCATAGCTTTCCTCCCCAGGAGCAAGCGTCTTTTAATTTCTTGGCTGCAGTCCCCGTCTGCGGTGATCTTGGAGCGCAGGAAAATAAAATCTGTCACTACCTCCATTTCTTCCCCATCTGTTTGCCAGGAAGTGAGAGGACCAGATGCCATTATCTTAGTTTTCTTAATGTTGAGTTTCAAGCCAACTTTTGCACTCTCCTCCTTCACGCACATCAAGAGGCTCTTCACTTTCTGCCATGAGAGTGGTATCATCTGCATTTATGAGGTTCTTCATATTTCTCCCAGCAATCTTAATACCCACTAGTGATTCAGCTAGCCCCACGTTTCTCATTATGTGCTCTGCATATAAGTTAAATAGGCAAGGCAACAGTATACAGCCTTTCCGAACTACTTTCTCAATTTTGAACCAATCAGTGGTTCCGTGTCCAGTTCTCAGTGTTGCTTCTTGACCCGCATATAGGTTTCTCAAGAGACAAATAAGATGGTCTGGTACTCCCATCTCTTTAAAAACTTGCCACAATTTGTTGTGATCCACACAATCAAAGGCTTTAGCATAGTCACTGAAGCAGAAGTAGATGTTTTTCTGGAACTCCCTAGCTTTCTCCATGATCCAGTGTATGTTGGCAATTTGATCTCTAGTTCCTCTCCCTCTTCGAAATCCTGCCTGTACTTCTGGTAGTTCTCGGTCCACATACTGCTGGAGCCTAGCTTGTAGAATTTTGAGCATAACTTTGCTAGCATGTGAAATGAGTGCAATGGTGCGGTAGTTTGAACATTCTTTGGCATTGCCCTTCTTTGGGATCGGAATATAAACTGACCTTTTCCAATCCTGTGGCCACTGTTGAATTTTACAAATTTGCTGGCATATTGAGTGTAGTACTTTTACTGCATCGTCTTTTAGGATTTTGAATACCTCAACTGGAATACTGTCGCCTCCACTAGCTTTGTTGTTGCTCAGACTTCCCAAGGCCCATTTGACTTCACATTCCAGGATGTCTGGCTCGAGGTCAGGGACCACCCCATCGTGGTTGTCAGGGACGTTAAGCTCTTTCTTGTATAGTTCTCCTGTGTAATCTTGCCACCTCTTCTTAATCTCTTCTGCCTCTGTTAGGTCCCTGCCATTTTGGTCCTTTACCATGCCCATCTTTGCATGAAATGTTCCCTTCATATCACCAATTTCTTGAAGAGATTTCTGCTCCTCTCTATTCTATTGTTTTCTTCTATTTCTTTGTACTGTTCATTGAAGAAGGCATTCTCATCTCTTCTAGCTGTTCTCTGGAATTCTGCATTCAATTGTGTGTATCTTTCTCTTTCTCCCTTGCCTTTCACTTCCCTTCTTTCCTCAGCTTTTTGTAAAGCTTCCTCAGACAGCCATTTTACTTTCTTGCATTTCTTTTTCTTTGGGATGGTTTTAGTTGCTGCCTCTTGTACAATGTTGCGAACCTCCGTCCATAGTTCTTCAGGCACTCTGTCTATCAGATCTAATTCCTTAAATCTATTTGTCACCTCTACTGTATATTCATCAGGGATATGATTTAGGTCATACCTGAGTGGCCTAGTGCTTTTCCCTACTTTCTTCAACTTAAGCCTAAATTTTGCAACGAGAAGCTCATGATCTGAACCACAGTCAGCTGTAGTTTTTACTGACTGTATAGAGCCTCTCCATCTTTGGCTGCAGAGTACATAGTCAATCTGATTTCTGTGTTGACCGTCTGGTGATGTCCATGTGTAGAGTCATCTCTTGGGTTGTTAGAAAAGAGTGTTTGCTATGACCATCGTATTCTCTTGATAAAATTCTACCAGCCTGTGCCCTGCTTCATTTTGTACTCCAAGGCCAAACTTGTCTGTTATTCCGGTTATCTTTTGGCTTCCTACTTTAGCATTCCAATCCCCCATGATGATAAGGACATCATTTTTTGGTGTTAATTCTAGAAGGTGTTGTAGGCCTTCATAGAACCAGTCAACTTCAGCCTCTTCAGCACCAGTAGTTGGGGCATAGACTTGGACTATTGTGATGTTGAATGGTTTGCCTTGGATTCGAACTGAGATCATTCTGTCATTTTGGAGATCATATCCCAGTACTGCTTTTCCTATTCTTTAATTGACTATGAAGGCTACTCCATTTCTTCTGAGGCATTCTTGCCCACAGTAGTATACCTGATGGTCATCTGAATTAAATTCACCCATTCCTGTCTATTTTAGTTCACTGATTCCTAAGATGTCTATGTTCAGTCTTGTCTTCTCTTGTTTGACCACATCCAGCTTGCCTTGATTCATGGGTCTTACATTCCAGGTTCCTATGGAGTAGAGATCTTTGCAGCATCGGACTCTCCTTTCACCACCAGATACATCAGCAACTGAGTGTCCTTTCGGCTTTGACCCAGTTGTTTGATTCTTTCTGGCACTACTAGTACTAGCCCTCTGCTCTTCCCCAGTAGCACACTGGACACCTTCCAACCTGAGGGGCTCATCTTCTGACATCATATCGTTTTGCCTTTTGGTACTGTCCATGGGGTTTTCATGGCAAAGATACTAGAGTGGGTTGCCATTTGCTTCTCCAGTGGATCACATTTTGTCAGAGCTCTCTGCTATGATCTGTCCATCTTGGGTGACCCTGCACGGCATAGCTCATAGCTTCATTGAGCTACGCAAGCCTCTTCACCATGACAAGGCTGTGATCCATGAAGTTATTAAGTAAATATGCTTATTATTCAAGGAACTGTAACTACTTTGCATTTGTACCCAAGGAACAGGAGGCAGAGGACCAGGGTCTATGCTCATTTAATCTTCACAACAACTCTGTGAAATAGAACTTCCTGAGAGACTTGTCTGTCCACACAACACTCAGATATGCACCCAATGTTTGAAAGGGGTAGGGGAAATAGGGTCGCATTCACTGTCCTGATCCACAAGCACTGGATTTTAAGCTGAAGATATAAACAAAGCATACAATTGCTCACATGTGAATTCTGTATGTGTGGCTCCATAATACTATCAGATGAACAAGATCATGAGTAGGGAAACTGGCTGTGATTCTATTTTCTGCTCCACACATTCAGCGGATGCCTGAACCATCAATGGGCCATAAGCCCAAAGTCAGCTAGAAGAATTCACAGCTGAGCAGAGGCTTGAGCCCAGGCCCTTCCTCTCTGTTGAATACTCTGACAATACCGCCACAATGAAGAGGAGTTGGCTACATCCAGACTAAGTCACACGTTAGTCCAATTGGAATCAACAGGGCCTAAACAAGTAATGCATACGTCTGATTTATATCAATGGAAATAAAGCATAACTATCTTACAACCCTATATTTTCACAAGCAGTGCAAATGAAGATTCTCATATAGTTGGCAGATACATAGAAAATACAGAAAGAAAAGCAGAAGAAGTATGTTCCACTATCATTTTCTTACCCATCCAGTGGGGCAGAGACAGCCAGACACACATCCATGGCTGACACAGCCTAACTCATATGTCTGACAGGTCTTCATACATTCTACTCCTCTAGCTCTTGGATCATTTGGAGGACATACAAACTTGGTCATTGGATGCCTGCAGGCTAAGCTTCGCTTTGCTTTAAGAAATAAAACAAAACAAAATGAACCATCTTTTTAACTTTGCTTGCCAGAAGTAAATTATAACAATACTTTGAAGAGTCATTGTCTCTAATATTAAAATTTCCCCAAAATTTCAAACATCCATAATTATACATGAGAGCAGCAGCCTAAAGAATTTGATTGCTTCCACATATCCTTTTACCAATGATATTCCTCTATTACCTAGAAAGAAAATTAAAGAGTTTCCACAGATAACATAATACTATATTATCCATGAATCCCCTTTCCCATGGCAAGGGTTTTTCTGTAATATTTATTCAGAGGCCAGTTCCAGCAAAGTTCCCTTGGAATGTTAATTAAACATTTCCTGTTTTCAAGTTATTCCAATTGCATAACTGTTAAACCATCCTGAGACTACAGTAAGGAATGGTCTAAAAAGTTTTAAATAAATAACAAATTTTTAAATATATAAATAACCTCCTATTCAGTTTATCAATTTGAATGATTTAGAGGCAATTCATCAATTTACCATAGATCTTGGAAAGAGGGACAAATATCTGTAATTACTGGTTTTCTTACATTTAATTTTATGTCCCTTCTTTTATAATAGAACATCACCATTTCAGTGTAAATGAAAGGAAAAACAATGTTATGATATCAGTAATTAACTTCAGCCCTTATTTTCCTAATCCTATGACCTTGTTGAACATAATAGACAGACTCTGAACACAGCAGCCTTTAAAAACCTCAGCAGAATTTGCCTGTTCATACAGAACAGGTCAGTTTGGGGGTTGTGGGGAGATCCAAAATAAATTGTGGGAAACTGGGTTTGAAAAAACATAGGATAACACAGAAAACATAGGTATGAGATGCTGTCTCAATGACATTGTCAAGATTCTCCATTCACAGTCTAAAATCAAGAGATGGCAGTGCCATCAGTTTTGAACCAGTGTTTACCCAGAATATTTTTGGTCATGACTGCAAAACTCTAGAAGGAAAATTTGTTGACACTAGATTGTCACATACAGAACAGTATTTTCTATTTAAAATCTTATATATTTCAGCAAAATCCATAATGCTTCATACATTGTAGCTGTAAACCTCAGGATACAAATATACACATAGCGATAGATCTCCAGATGTTTGTAAGCATGCTCTGTTTTAGAAAATAGATCTCACATTTAAATAAACTCACATTTGTATGTAATCTGAATTTCCCAGAAAGTTTCTCTGGGATGTGTTGTGCATGGGATGGCAGAGTTCCCATTTTGCCCTTCTCTGATTTAAAGAGATTGCCTAAGGAACCAGGGAATCATGGAGACAAGTCCAAGGATCCATACCATATTGCCTGATCTATCCTATTCTTCAGAATAGGAAGTATAGGAAATAATTGAATATGAAGAGATGCACATTAATTTTAAATTAAGAATACAAACCTCTGGCAGAAGGATGATGGTCAAAGAACATATCTGGTAAGGCAGCCCCCGGAATTCTGTTTGAGCTGCAGTGCATGAACCCATTTTCACAATAGCTAAGGAAAAAAGAGAGAAAGAAACAGTGTTCCTTTTTAAACAAAATGATATGCATTACTCACATGGCATTACCTGATCTAGCCTACAACAATGGTCAGCTCTGGTTTCCCAAGTAATATAAACTGCAAACTTGAGAGGCAAGACCAGAGCAACACTGGTGGCAGTGGGACTTCTCATGAAGCCACTGAGGACAATGAGACATGAGAGCCTGACTCTTCCCTTCCAAAATCCCCATAGCAAAACTTGCCTGTTCAGCAGGCATTTATAAGCAACATTCTTTCCAATGGTCCAGTCACTCAAAGGCTCAGTTACGCAAATGTGGTCCATCACATAATTTATTTGTTCAGCTTCATTTAAAACAGTAAGTTATCCCACTTTATCCTACAGTTGAGATGGATCTCAACAACACTCAGCAACAAGCCTAGCAAAACTGGTAAAATATTGTGCGATAAGGAATGTGCTACCTCAGTAGCCTGCTTGAGTTTCTCCCTTCGTCTTCTATTTGGTGTTACTGCTAAAGTGTTGGATTGGGATTAGAAAGACCAGGGTTCTGCTCAGCCATGAAGGGTGCTTGGTGATCTTAGGACAGTCACTGGCTATGTTTGCCCTTTTCAATAAGCCAGATGTCCTCCACACACCCTCCGTGCTTATGTTTGGACTTGGCCAACCACATACTTTGCCAGTTCCTGACACTGCACTTCATTCATGGTGCCCTCTAATCCAGGTGTGGATTAAGTCAACCCTCAAGTGTGGCACATGTTCTTGTTACTTGTTCTTTGCTCTAATCAGAGTAATGTAAATTAACGCAGGAGTGACTGCTGAATGACATGCATGTGAAAACACCTTCTGTATTGTAATGGAAGGTTGGGCAGGTAGGGTGGGGGGCTGGAGAGAATCTCTACCATGTATAATTGTATGAGATCAGATCCAAGTTCTCCACTCACCACGTGATGTGATGATCTGAGAAGAGATCATCTGGCTGGAAGATCTCACCATCATAGTAACAAGAGCACTGCAACTTTGGCAGACAGTCTCCATGTTCATCAAGGTATAATCCAGTAGGGCAATAACAACCTTCCATACAAAATTCATTGCATTCTGTGTCTGGGTAGGATAGGGACCGGCAAGTCTGGTTGCATGGACTTCCACACTGCTGGTAAATCTGACCTTTTGGACAGTTCAAAGCTTTAAAATAACATTAGAAGATAAAGGGATAGATTAGGATTTTTTTTAAATAGCATTTCTGATAACAAGCATGCTTTGCAGTTTCGAAGTGAAATTCTTCCTACTTTTATAGGAGTTAACACTTTGCACCATTGATTATAGCAATGCTATTCCAAAGGTGCCCTTGGCCCATAATCAGCTATAGTCAACAGTGGAAATGCAGAATAATGGTAGGAGTGGAAAACATTACCAGAGGAAAAAAATATGGCTTTGTGAGTGCTGGGAAAATAAAATATTACTACCAAAGAACTGCTACTTGAGGAAAGAATTCTAGTAATAGCCCCTTCTGATGTGACTCTAACTGAAGAGATAGAAACAGAAACAGAGTGACTCAGAAGGAGCCTCCTGGGCCATCTAGTCTGATCCCCAGCTCCAGAGGCCTCCACTCATGACATGCCCACCATGTGCATGTCTAGCCTATCCTTGAACACCCTCACTGATGGGGCCTCAACCACCTCCAGTGGAAGCCCATTCCAGATGCTGCAGTATGGCTTCTTTCTGAATGGTAAAGTAAAGGTAAATCCATCATGATGCTCCTTCCCAAACTGATGCCTTGGACACTGGGCCAGTATTTATTTTTGCCTGTATAACAGACAATTATTTATCTTTGTCTGAAGGAGCTAAACACAGGCCATTTGTTACCAGCCCTTTACTGTAGCCTGTCCAGTGTTTAATGCTGCCTGCCAATGTTTTTCATTTGCAAAAGAGGCAGAAAACCCCTGGCAGTTTATCAAACCCTTTCCAGACCATCATTTATGACTAAAGGGCTTCATTCAACTGGTATTCTTCAAGCTGTTCAAATCTAGTTTATTATTTCATTCCACTTGTTTGCCACTCCAGGAAGCACACAAATGGTTCTGTTCACACAATATGACAAGCAATCCTGCATGGTAACCATAGTTTGTTACCATGATCTATCCAAAAAAACATTCAAGTGGCTTCTTTGTCATTGTGGTTTCCATCCTCTCTGCATTTATCCCATCAGCCACTGTACCTGAAAATCAATCCCAAACTACATTGCTCCCTGCCTATGTTGCCTGTCTCTTCCTCACTGATCCACACATGGAAGCCAGATGGCTGGAGTGACTCCTGTAGTTGCCACTCTTTGCAAGGGATTCTGTGGTAGTTGCAACATCAGGACCATGGAAACCATGATCCTGTGTTCAGACAGTGCACAAACATTTGTGGTGCAGAAAAACGATAGAATAAACTGTTGTTTCTTATGGTTTCTAAACACCAAAGCTTTCATGGTAAAATAGCATGACTGAGGTTGGACAACACAGTAGCCCAACAATGGTTAAAAACTGCCATGGTCTGCCATGTTGCCTAAACCCAGCCAACATCATGAAATGTTCTTGGATGTGTAAAAAAGATTACAAAAATTGGGGATTTTTTATACTCAACACTAGGTGGCAGCAATAACAATTCTATTCTCTTTTCACAAGGTAGATTGACCTTCAGCAGCCAGATAAAATTCTGAAATTAATTTGAATATTTAAATTAATTTCTGAAACAAATGCTTGATGTCTATTTCAAAATATGATTTAGTGGTTTCAGTTGAATAATAGCATTTGCTGAATCGCCAGATATATGTAGTATGAATAATATTTTCAATTGCCCTGTGAAAGTAGAAGTATTATTGCCCTGTGAAAGTAGAAGTATTATTCGAAGAGATGAGACAGAAATATAATTAAGAAAAAGAGTGGCAGTCAAGCCTGAAGGTCCCTGTATTGAACTGCAACAATTTATTTGCACAATCTACAAAGCTGTGGAGCAAAATGAATATTTGCACCATTGGAAAGCAAGGCATTGCCATGCCATCTTTGTGTTTCTAAAAAGCATTACTAGTCCAAGAGGTACAGCAGCCAAGAACTAGCTGCTCACCAAAGGATAACACTCATTCTTCATTATCATTTTCACAGGCCACAGAAGAGAGAATCTCAGTTCCTGAGCAAACAGCTGCCATTGGTCCATCACCACTAATTACACAAGACTGCCAGTTGCAATCTCCATCCATTAAAGGAATGGCCATTTTCCCTTGTGTGATGGAAGATGTCTAAAGCACCAGAATTATTTAATGGATCCACCATCAGAGAAAATTGGCACTTCCAAAAAGCATAAAGTGCTTCATAATGGACATGAGTAAAGGGGAGGGAACATCACAATATTAAAGATTAATTGTGAAAATGTTCTGTGTTCAATTACAGCAACTGCCAACTGTAATCCTACCACATACCTTCTCTAACCCCTTTCCTGTTCTACACTCATTTCTATCTCACCCCCTTAATTATTTATGTGTCTTTTATAATATTAGAATTTTTTTTGTGGGGGGGAACTCTTCAATAAAAGCTGAAATAGAAGAAAACACTACCACTCGCCCCATATTGAGCCTGCAAGTCTGCATAATATCAAAGAAGGGGTTTTCTTTTTCTTTTTTTAATTAACCTGCTGTTTCCTTCCCTAAGTACCTTCATGAAGCCTTGCTATTGTTTGACAAAATCATATTCCCTCAATAAATACTCTTCTGCTGGCAAATTGGGTAGCAACTTTAAAACATTTAGCCAAATATCATTGGCTTAAAATGGTGACCCACTAACCCCTCACTTTCCATATGGATTGAATCACTTAGCCCCACCCCGCCACACCTGCCAAAGCCATTCCAACCTGTTAACTCAGTCCCATTTCCTATTAAAGTGACCACCCAATGAGCAGCTGCTGCATTCTCTGCAAATTTAGCCATTTTTTGTGTGAAGTCAAGGCTGACAAATGCAAAGCAAAGGTCAGAGACAAAATGCAAGAATTATCATTGTGCACACCTCTCCTCTTGCAAGTCAAGCTGTTCTGCTAATCATGTGTTGCCATGATTTGGGAATCAAATTTCAGTGTCAATTACAGGAAGCACCATTTTTTTTTCTCTTATATAATTTGCAATGGGATCATCTGAGAGACCTTGATGAGGGAGTCCCTCCCTTCTGAAGTTAACCCAATACCTTGAAGAGAGAGCACTTTCCCTTCTTTGGGGGTGTCTCTCCATTTTGAGGAACCTGTTTTATGAATGAGTGAGTTTTTCACAGTTTGAGATCTTTAGTCCTCCTATGGAAGGGGAGTCACATGAATGTAGGGCTAACTCAAGACGTTTTACTTTCTGAGGGAAAAGGCAAGATGGCACCTCTTTGAGTTCAACCTTCATTAGCCAACTGGACTTGCAGCTTCCCCAAAAGCTGGTCCCCAAAGTGCTGCCACATATACAATCAGTTGCAAACCATCATCTGGAGGAATGAGTTACCCAATCCACAGTACCTCTGCTTTTTGTGGATTTTCTTTACCTTCATCCACCTCAGAACAACCTCTAGACACTGATTCACAATCTCAACAGCCTCACTGGGAAGGACAGATGGAAATGAGAGACAGAGGTAAGCATCATCTGCATAATGGTGACACTTCAGGCGAAGCCTCTGATGACTTCCTCAGCACTTTCACATTGATGGTAAAAAGCTTGGCAGAAGGAATGGAAATCCCACAAGCTTACCTTATTTCAACAATGGCAACAGGATAGGCTTGTCCATCACACCTGAGGGCAGCAGGCTAGCTTATGGCATGTAGAAGAGGCTTTGTGGCATTTGTCCTCCATGGGAGTGAAATGACTCGGAGACTCAGAAGGAGCTGAGATAACTGCCACTGCTATCCTCCAGCATCTGCCATATATGGTGGCTGCCTCGCGCTGCCTCATGAAAGGGCTAGCCCTCCATGGACCCCAAAGCTGCTTGAAATATTTACATTTTTTTTTAACAAATCCAAACCACATCATACTCTATGTACTCCTCAAGAATGATGGAGTCAATTGCCATATAAGTTCCTAATCTTCCTCATTCTGGTTGGTTTTTTTTAAAGTAATACTTATCTCAGTGGTTTTTATGATTGACTGTATTTTTGGAATATAATACCAATAAAATATGAATGTTGAATTATAATCATTTTGAGATCAAATAATATTTTTACTTCCATTTAGGCCTTCAAAGGGGTCTGTTTGAAGATTTCAAAGGACTGATACTGACAAAATGCATGGAGAAGACTTAAGAAACAGGTTGATTTGCTTATCATTGCCATTTTAAATAACAGGGTTTTAGCTGCCTTTTTTGGATATGTCTTTATTGTTTTTATGTTGTTTTACGAATTTTCAAAAAGCAATAAGCAGAGTTTACATTATTAAATTAAATTAATGCAAACTTTATGCAGGAGTGCCCCTGCAGCATCAGCAGGCGAAGGTAGGGAGGAAACATGGATACACATGCAAGTGCTGCTCCCATGGACCACATGATCCCAACTATCCTAGAATTCTTTACAAACCCTGTTTTCTAAGTATGTGCATGCAAATATATGTACAAAGCACTCACAACTGGGAACCTAGATAAGACAGCTTCCTGCTTGCAGAATTTAAACAAAAAAATTCTATCCAATATGTTTATAAAACCAAAGGTCCAAATCTTTCTAGGGTAGGCAGAAACAAAAATAAAAAAATAAAATGTTGGAAGCTGGCCTTGCCACACTTCCTCATTCCCTCTGTACTTTGCTGTACATGTATTGCAGGCAAATTCCTACATTCAACTACAATCTCTTGGCATTTACTACCAAACTGAATTCTCCAAAATTCTAGTCTTTCCCAAGGCAGGGAGTTTATGTTGCTGTGGGGATGTGCAGTCAAATCATCACCCAACTGCATTCTTGAGTAAGGATAAATGGACTGGCCCCAATAGTAAGCAGTTAGTACAATTATAGCACTATTTCATAGACACTGGAAATGGTTGGAAAACCAAATTTGGTTTAATATTGCATCAGCCTTTGAATTTAGGAATTTTAATTTTTTTGGAGTTGAATATTAGAAGTGCTAAAATATATTTTAGATGCATTTTCTTTAGTGCATCTATTTCATCAGTGTATATATCTTCTTTATAGATTCACTTTAGATCCTCTCATTTTATAGAGCTCTAGATCTAACTTTCATATCTGTGTCACACTTCTTACATCTATTACATAGTTGAAGGGAGCTCTGCAGGATCCATTCTTCATGTTTTCTATCAGCCCTTCTAATCTACGCATAAAACTTAAGGTCCTGCTCAGCCTTCTGAAGTGGAAAGGGGGTATTTGGGCACTGATTAATGATGCACCTGCACTGCACATTAAAACACAGATGCCAAGTCCTGGCACAAATTAAACACTATACCCAGACGTTACCTTTACAACACTTGTTGGTAACATACACATACCACAAAAATCTGGCTGCCGCCAGTTGAGGAGAACCCCTGCACGGGCACAAGCCATGGCGTAGGCAGAGACAGCAGAACACAAGCAGTCTTTGCCATCAGAACAGGAACAGACATCATAGCGGCAATTCTTCAGGTATGGAGAAGGACTGACTTTGTGATGGCAAGGCTCAAATAACGGAGATAAGAGAACAGCACACGAGACTTCAGCATACTTGGCTAAAATTGGGGAAAAAATAAAATGTTGTGTTTGAATATATAAATGTGTGTTAATACTATAACTTTACCTGTTATGAATAGAAAAAGGAAAAGCACAAAGAGGACAAGTGTTCTGGCAGCTGAGGGTCAAACTGTTTTATAGACTGCTAGTACATTTAGTAGCTAAAATGTAATGACAGACTAGGAAATCTTTGGTTCAAATCTCTAGCCATTAGCTTACTAACTACCTAGTGGGTGGTGGCCAGGGGCAGAGGCAACACCACCAATGACTCCCATCCCCAATGGCAACAGGATTGGGAGAGGCATCCATGGCATGATACTGAGAGCCTACTAGACTCTTTCATCTACCCAGTCATGTATGAATGTTTTCCCCAAAAGAAACTTGCTAGTCTTTATGTATGGTGCCACCAATCTCTGCTGTTTCTAATTTGTACCACTATTCTAAAAGAAGAAAATGTGCTCTTTTCCCATCATCATGACCTCTGCAGTGAGTTCCAGTACCTAAGCGAGGATTACTATTACAAGAATTGCTATCTTGTTTCTGCAAATCTTGACAATCTCCCTTGAGCTTCCAGGAATTTCCAAAGTCTTCAACAAGGGTTTCCACCAGGCCAGAGGGTGTAAGAAAATCATCTCCTTGATTGCCATCGTAGTTACCACACAGACCACAAGTTTGCTCAGTATATTCTGGCGATAACTGCAGAGACATAAAAATTATCTTCAAAATTCTGTAGCCTTTTAATTGCCACCATTAATTTATTCCTAAAGCATCTCTACTAAATAGATGCTGTACCTAAAACAAAACAAAATACACTGGCCACAATCCAAAATATATTACACCAACATAGAGTGAATCAAAAGGGGTCTCCCGGGCCATCTAGTCTGACCCCCAGCTCCAGGCGGCTCTGCTCACAACATGCCCACCATGTGCATGTCTAGCCTATCCTTGAACACCCTCACTGATGGGGCCTCAACCACCTCCCGTGGAAGCCCATTCCATACCCTTGGGGTCCTAACTGTCAGAAAGTGCTTCCTGGCATCTAAATTGAACATTGGTTCCCTGAGCTTCACTCCGTTGGAGTGCATCCTGCCCTCCTCTGCAGGGGAGAACAGGTATCTACCCACCTTCGCATGACATCCCCTCACATACCTGTATGTCACCATCAGATCCCCTCTGAGCCTCCTCTTCTCCAGGATGGAGACCCAATTCCCTCAGTATCACCTCATACGGCTTCCTCTGCAAACCGGCCACCAATCTTGCGGCCCTATGCTGCACTGACTCTAACCTGGCTATATCCTTCCTATAACGAGGGGCCCAAAACTGAACACAATACTCCATTGCGGGCACACCAGAGTAATACCTCTCTTGATCTAGAAGCAACACTTCTGGCTATGCAACCAAGGGTGGCGCTCACCCTCTTGGCACCGCATCACACTGCTGACTCATGATTAGCCTGTAGTCAACCAGCACCCCAAGATCCCTATTAAAAGTTCTGCTCTCCAGCCACTTGCCCCTAACCTGTACTTAGGACACCCATTCCTATGTCCCAAGTGCAAGACCTTGCACTTATCCACATTGAACGCCACCCTGTTGTCACCTGCCCACTTCCATAGTCTGTCCAGATCCTTTTGGATCTAGAGTACCTGCTCCTCAGTTGTGGCGACTGCCCCAGTTTTAGTATCATCTGCGAATTTGATCAGCAGACTGTTCACCCTTTTTTCCATATCACTGATGAAAAGATTAAACAGGATCAGCCCCAGGACAGAGACCTGGGGGACTCCACTTGTCACTGGTCACCATCCTGATGATTCCCCACTAATGGTTGCCCTCTGCTTTCGGTCAGTGAACCATGTCCTAATCCATTGGACACTGCATTGGTCTATCCCAAAACTTTGTCAAAGGCCTTGCTAAAATCTAGGTAAACCACATCCACTGCATCCCCTCCATCTAGCCACCTTGAAACCTTGTCGTAGAATTCCACAAGGTTTGTCTGGCAAGACCTGTTATTGTGGAAGCTGTGCTGTGTGGCCACCGGTCTCCCTTCCCAATGTATCATCACTAGATCTCTTGCTATTATGAGCCTTTCCATTGTTTTTCCTAAAAGGGACATAAGAAAATCTTTAATTCTCCCTGTCACTTCTACTATGCTTTTTGAAAATTGGAACCACTGACACCACCCTCCAATCCTCTGGAACTTCACCCGTTCTCCACAAGGCCTCAAAAATGGAGGCCAGCGGACGTGAGAGAACCCCTGCCAACTCTCTAAGTATTCTTGAGTGTAACCCGTCAGGGCCCAGTGCCTTTGTGATGTCCAGTGCCCTGAGGAACCCCTTGACTTCCAGTGGGGTGACTCTAATCTGTGTCACTAAGTACCCAGCCTCATCTAATCTCCCATGCAGATTTCCCCCATTCTTCTCTGGGGAGAACACTAAGCAAAATAGTCATTTAGCATATGTGCCTGTTCCATCACATGAGTCAATGGATCCCCTTCCTCCTTATAAAGCAGTCCCACTACCTGCCTTGCCTTCCTCTTGCTATTTACATGCTGATGAAAGCCCCTTTTGTTGCCCTTCATATTCTTGGCAAGTCTCAGCCTTAGCCTTGTAAAAAATCCTTCTGCAATGGGCCTCCTCCTCCCAGTATACCCTTTTGTCTATTTGCTCCAGTATCCATTTCCTACGGAGGCTCCTCTTTTGTCTAATTCCTCTAACCACCTCCTTTTGCATCCATGGCGGCACTCTCCTTCGCCTCCCCACCTTACTAACTAGAGGTATTGTCAAGTCTAGCATCTCCAAAACCTCGCTTTTGAGTGCCATCCACCCCACCTCAACTCAATTGCCTTTCAGTAACCTGTCCCAGGAGACTTTCCCCAGTCTGGCCTTCAGTTGGCCAAAGTTGGTCCTCTTGAAGTCCTAGCTTCTAGTGCTTGACCTGCTGCACGTCCTCATTCCCCTGATCTCAAAGCAAAGAATGGAGTGATCTCTCACATCCAGAGCTCCCCTAATCATCTATCAGCTCCTCCCTGTTGGTCGAGACCAAGTCAAGGATGTTTCCCCCTCTCATCACCTCTCGGTCCCTCTGTGTGAAAAACTCTCCCTCTATAGCATCTAGGAAGTGACGTGACCTTGCTGTCACTGTTGGGTGAGTCTCCCAACTACTGGAAGATTGAAATCTCCCATAATTACTGTGTTCCTCCCCTGAGGTATCCTTAGAGTCTGATCTGTCAGGACATCATCCAGGGTCTCAAGTTTACCTGGAGGGTGATAACATACCCCCACTGTCAGGTCTCTCTCCCTGTCAAAACCCCTTAGTTTCACCCACACTGCCTCTACTGAATCCCCATCTGTGCAGCATTCTATCTCATGGCATCCTATCCCTTCCCTGACATATAAAGCTACGCCCCCATCCCTCTTTCCCTTCCCGTCCTTTCAAAACAGGAGATACCCCTCTATGTTTACATTCCAGTCTTGCCTTTCATCCCACCAAGTTTCTGTGATCCCCACCAGGTCATACCCTCCTATTCCCAGGAGAGCTTCAAGCTCTTCCTGCTTATTACCCATGCTCCTAGCATTGGTGTACATGCACCTCAATTCCTTCCCACCGCTTCCTTTCCTTGGAGTTCCCAGCCTCCTCCTTTCTCCCATCCTCCCTGATACCAGCTCCCTCTCTGTAGGAGTCCTATCAGTCCCTGCAGTACCTCTAAAACCCTGCTCCCAGAGCCTTGATCCTCTCCCACAGCTGGACAAAGCTGGACAAAGCTGGCAAGAGCATTTCCAAAGGACCTTTTCCCCATCCTCCTGAGGTGCAACCCGTCCCTTGGCAGAAGTCTATTGGCAAGGAACCAGCTGCCCTGGTCAAGGAACCCAAAGTGATCCTTCTGGCACTTCTCCCTAAGCCAGTCGATCACCTCGGCAACCCTTCTATCCCTGCCTGGCCCAAATCCCCGGACTGGTAAGATAGATGCGAAGGCCACTTAGAGCTTTAGGTCCCTGAGTTTCTTCTCCAAGGCCTCAAAGTCCCTTGTGATCCCGCACACACTCTGTCTGGCTACGTTATTTGTCCCCACATGGATCACCAGAAGCAGCTGGTGACCCCAAGAAGGAACAAGACACTACACTCTATTCTTCACATGCTGGATGCATGCGTCCAGCAGGCAACAGACCTCCTTCACCTCAAGGTCAGGATGGCACACCACCGCCTCTGTGCCCCTCAGCATGGAGTCCCCGATGATGATCACCCGCTTTTGTCTCTTCCCAGTGGTGGTAGGTGGCTTTGTCCTGGCCCTCACCTCTCTTGCAGTGGCCTCCAGGCCACATGTGGTCCCAAGCTGGGTGTCCTGCTGGTTCCCAAGCCTTCATCAGCCCCAGCCTTCCCAAGCAGAGAGAACCTGTTTCCCAGCTCCAGAACGGTGCCAGGAGAAGGAGGAGGCCGTGGGTTACATGCCTCCATGTCTCCCCAGGTTTTCCTCCCGTGGCCCCTCCCTCAACCCTCTGTCTGGAGGGGAACTGTTCCTGGGGGGCCTGGAAAGCTCTCTCAGCCCTCAGACACCTCACCTCCTCCTCTATCAGGGTCACAAGCTTGTACTGAGGGAAGTGTATCCCTGTCTCTCCTGATTGAGAAGGGTGAACATGTTGCAGCTGTCACAACAGACAGCAACACCTGTGATTCCTGCCAAGGCCATCTCCTGGCCTGCCATTGGGAACCCCTCAGAGACCCTTCCTTGTTCCCCTGCCTTGTCTGTCCTGCACTACTCCTCACAAAAACCCACACACAAGGACAAAAAAAAAAAAACCTGCCCCCAGGGAAGGAAGTACCCAGGCAGTCCCAGCTGCAGCCACAGGACACAGAAAAGGGACAGCACCCTTGTTGTTGCCAATGGCTGGGCATGGTCTTATAAGCCTCTCAGGCTGCTGGCCTTGCCCCTCTGCTTCCTCCTGGCCTCTCTGGCCCCACCTCCCTTCCTCTCTGCTGCTCCTTTCCCCCTGCTCCTCTGTCCAGCTCCTACCTTGATTTCGCCAGTCCACTGGCCACCCTCAGCACACTCTCCCAACCTCTGCCTCTGCTGGTCCTGCTGCTCTGCCAAGAGGCAAGAGCCAAAAGATTTATGTGGATACAAATTGGTATCCCAGCCTCCACCCCTTCTCAGTCAAAACACTCAACAACAAAAACATAAACACAAGTTCTATTTAGTGCAAGAAGCTCCTGAGGAAGGGAGTATTCAGTGAAAATGTCCAGAGATTGGCATGAAATAAACAGACACCTATCTGTGTGGTGCTGTATCCCCTTGGGGGTGAGAGTCACACCCCAAAAGAGCAATTAAAGGCACAATCCTATGCCTTCTGTTGGGAAAGTCCAAATAAATCCTCAGATATAAAGATATGCTTTTGCGTGTCCTTCAATATAAAATCTGGCAGCAGTGCCTTTGCTCTTCTCCATTCAAAGGGACTAGAACTTTTTGCCCAGCTCCACACACCTGGGAAAAGCAGGCAGTCCTGTGGGCTCCAGTATTCATGCATTTTCTTGCAGAGTCAGACAAGCTCCTACCCGCAACAGTGCTTACTTTGCTATGTAAAAATGCCTGGCCAGCTCATGGTTTGCCTTAAGGAATGTTGTATCTCTGATTGCAAAAACCACAGCATTTTAAACCTACTAGATTTCTATAACTCCTGATTGTTTTGTTTGTTATCAGTTACTCA